GGGGTAATTAGTTGGCACGCACCTGTTCAACAGCAACGTGCTGCACTATTAAGCCATGCAGACACTTTGGCCAGTGTGTTATGGCAGCACCTACACACGCGCAGGGCCAGCAGCTGCCCAGGTTCAAACCCCGGCAGTAATATACATCCCGACTCTTGATAATATAATTCGGGAGCGGAGCGGGATGGGCCAGCGTGGGCGCGTGGCGCGCGCGCGTGTGCCACGGCCTTGGCCTTGGCGTCGTGATGGCAGCTTCTTTTTCCGCCATGTGTCGCTCTCTTGCTGCACCTTTTTTTCCTTGTTTTTTTTTTTATAACCACCGGGAAAAAGGCCAAAAAAAACCATTGTCGGGTTTTGCTGTTTTCCCTGCTGTGCAGTGTGGTGGGTGGGAGAGGGGAATGTTCCCGCTCCGATACCAGTGTGGCGAACCCACCAGGTGTGGTGCTCCGCCTAGGATAGAGATGGAGATGGAGGAAGAAGGGGGAGCGAGATGGCACAGCGCAGCTCCCACGCTAGACTCCAACGCACGTACTCCAAAATGTGCGAATGTAGAAAGATCTCACAAACAGACAGCAGCTGGAGTATACCCCAGTGGACTGACTGGACCGGATTGGATTGGCTGGTACCGACAGAGGTACCGGCTTGGACTGGACTACCCCGAATACAACACAGGCCTGTGAGAACAGGCCAAGGGGCTGGTCTCCCAGGCAGTCAGCTCGCGCTGTGATCCAACAACGTGGACGCAAGGTTGCAAACATCCAGAATGAACCTCCCAGCACCCAGCACTTTCCTATATGGAAAGTGCACCACTGTGTTGCCCTGTTTCGAGGCTAGAGGCCAAGTTCCCATAAGCCCGCCTTCGAGTCAGAGTGTCTGCGTCCAGGCCCAAGCAGCCCAACTGTGTGATGTGGCCACCGTCACTTGCTGCTTTCTGATTGGCCGAAAGGCCTAGAGCCACGTCGCTGCCAGAAAGAGCCCAGAGGGTCTGCAATGTCATGGTCACACTTGCGCGGCCTTGTAACCACCTGGATCGGGGAAACTGTCTGGCGCCCCCAAGCGCAGAAATGACGAAAATTAAGGCCTCACGTCGTAATGCAGGACCGCCTTCACTTAGGGCAAGCACATGACTTGATTGGGGCCCCGATAGTGTTGGGCCTAGTGGCTCTGCGAGGGCTCATTCCACGCACAAAATTCTCTCTCAAATTCAAATTTACTTTCCTTAAACCATGGCAAATTCCTAGCGACTGCCACCAGGTCTAGCTCAGTTGGTACACCCAATGAACTGTTGAAATACAGACTGAATTTTGAACCCAGATGTTTTGTTTTTTCTTTTTTTTTAACTTTTGGTTTTTGGGTTTGGTGTAACACTATTCCTTTTTTTATGAGTCGGAAAGCAGGATCCAGATGT